TACTGTGGCAGCGACTGCTGGTGCTGCCCTCAGGGCTGGTTTCAGAGAACCTCCATGGCCTGCAGTATAGGGGTCTTGGCCAGAAGTTGGGCGCTGTAACTGTGGAGAATGAAGTGGCATCAATGGTCACTCTGGCGGAAGCACGCCCACTTTCTGACAGCCATACACTGCAGGTGTGGACAGGAATAGAGGCGCCCAGAAACTCACTCCTGGTTTTGATAAATTGCCTGAAGTGGCTCTCAGTGCTATCTGTGGCGATATTGCCCACGTACACTACGGCACGCTTGTTCTTGGGTGGTTCTGAGGAGACAAGCTTCCATGAGTCATCCTCGATAACATGGAAGATTGGCTTGCCGTTGGACTCTGTCACATCTGTCTGAGACTTGGACTCTGTCACATCTGTCTTGGGCTGTGACTCAGAACACTCTGCCTTTGCCAAGCCACCGCTTCCCTGGGCCTGGGGGCCGTGGGGCTTTCGATCCGCGCTTGTGACGCCAGTACGTGATACGGTGCAGCTGGGTTCCATGTGAGCTGCAGCTTGCTTGGCGCTGCGTTTGCTGGCACGGGTACTACCGGTACTACTTTGCGTACGATGTACGTCTGCTTGAACTGGTGAGCTGTTTCTCGTCGTCTTCGACTGCATCCAGGCAATGGCGGAGTTTTTTGAAACAACTAACTCTTCCTTCAAATCTTTTACTTCCGCTGCCAGCTCACCAATTTTGCGTTTCATACGCGCTTTGCGATCAGCAGACTCGGTCGCGAACTTTGCCAGCGTTTGCATCACTGCAAGGAGACCCTGCTCAATCCCCGCGAGGGTGCAAAGCAGCTTCGTCACGGCCTCAGCAGAGAGCTCGCCCATGGCGAAGGGTTCCTGCCTGGCCCTACCTAACTATCTAGACTCAGGCGCGTGCACCGTATGAGTTTTTTGGTGTCTGGAAACCACCTTTTTTCGGGCAATCTTGCCAAAGGAAAAGCGTGCCTACGCTCGTACTGGATTGGTTATTCTGCATACACGTCGATCGACGGGCAGTTTACAGTACAGTGACTATTATAGCAATAAAAACTGCTTTATGGCAGTTTTCTAAAAAAAGTTATTGTGTTCTAGTCCATGGACGGACCCCGTCTAAAAAGTAAGAAATTAACGAAATGTGATAGCCGAAAATTAAAATTTCACACAAAACCTCACAATAATCACAACACTTGAAATGCTGCTTTCAACACTAAACTTGTACTGCACCAACAATTGGCAACATGCATGCATAGGAAAGAGGATCACGAGGGGAAAAGGTCTTCTACATGTAGCTTTTCATTCTGTGTGTGATTATTGTGAGGTTTTGTGTGAAATTTTAATTTTCGGCTATCACATTTCGTTAATTTCTTACTTTTTAGACGGGGTCCGTCCATGGACTAGAACACAATAACTTTTTTTAGAAAACTGCCATAAAGCAGTTTTTATTGCTATAATTTCTTTTGTTTTTCTGTCACCAATCAATGGAATGCCCTATATCAATATGTAAATGATGGCCTTCACATCATATCAATACCGTATTATACGCATTGATGTGCAAGCATTTTCTTGCAGAAAATGGCGCTATCATAATGCAATTGCATGTTCTTCTGCGGGGAAACATGACATGTGAGTAGTGGTCTGGTGGTGGTGATACTTTTTATACAGAGGTCATTCTGTGCATGTTGCAGCTTGCTGTTGCAGAATTTCATGACTCATAAAATTGTCTTGCCTTTCAGATATTTCAGATTTCCCCACCCTTGATCAGATTTATTTGAGAAATGTAGCCAGGTGCGTGTCGCAGATGTTTTTGTTGGTTCTGTGTTTATAATGGTTTATAATCATGGGTTATTGTGATAAGGTCATCCTGCATCATATTGCACTGAAATGGTAATCCTGTTGATGTCGATACAACTTTTGGAAGTAGTTCAATGACTTCAAACTGTTAGTCCACGATTTTCTAAAACAACACAGGAAAGGAGGAACAATAAACATGTATTAGGGGCCGTCCGGGGTTACCGATTGTTTTTACAAAACGAAAAGTTTTAGTATTTTTCAGCCCCCACCCACCCACCCACCTTTTCTGCAGGGAAAACGAATTCCAATAAAATATTGATGTCAATTTTCGACACCCAGAACTAACTGGGCATTCTCCATCAGCATTCAATAATTATTTTCAAAACGAAACTCCATCAAACCCACCCACCCACAAACGAAAACATTTCGTTTTGAAAATATGATTGGTAACCTTGGACGGCCCCTTAAAATGTAAACAATACATTGCTGCAGGCAGGCATAGTGGGATGGTCTAAGACCATGATGGAGAAACAGAGGGTACCAGGTTCAAGTCCTGCTTGGAAGCGGAAGGAATTTTTCCAGCCGTGCTGCGACCCACAGTTAATTGGGAACTCGTGGCCTGGCACGAGGGTAACATGGATGCAGCTAATGGGATTTCGGTCTTTGACCACTTGGTGGTGGGTCTGATCTACTCACCTCCCACCGTTTAGGCGCTGCATCTGCGCCTTTGATCCTAGAGGGTGGTGGCGTTCCCACGGCGGATGCGGAAAACTCGGCTTCCAGCCGAGCCGAGTCTCACGCGAACCGTGAAATTTTTATTTTTTTTAATACATTGCTGAGTCCGACACCTCGTTCCAACAACTACACTGATCCTAAGGATAAAAGGGGCAAGGCTATGGTTGGAGGTACTGAGAGATAAACAAGGCACTCCACAATAATAAAATCTTACACATCTTTTGGTGAGTATGAATGATATCCAGTCGAACCTCTTTAGGACGAACACCAAGGGACCGATGGTATTTATTCTGTGAGTTAACCTATTAATTTTTATATCCAGTGAATACAATTATTTCTTGAATAGACATACGAATAGATTTCTTCTACAGCGAAAGATTCTAAGCCACACCGACTCATTGACTCGTCTGGTATGAAACAAATGAGTCACTAGAGAGGTTCTGCAAAACGAAAATGCGTACAAACTTTCGCTCTACGTCATGAAGTGCGAAACTTCGCACGAACTTTCGCAACTTTGGACGCGAAACTTGCAGGGAACGCGGAATGAACTGTCGTAGGAAATTTCGTGAGATCGTACGTGCACTTGGCCCCAGAAACCACGAAAATGTGCAGAACGCAAAGTTCGTGCAAAAATTCATACACACTTTCGCAAGGACTGTCGGGAAGCTTCGTTCGAATTTTCGTTTCGCAGAACCTCTCTACTGAACCATTCTTTAGAAACATGACGGCAACTGAATAGGGACCCGGCAAATATGCCGGCACTAAATCGAGCATTTTAGGGTGCAAAAATCACACGAGCATAATCGGTGATTTCGCGGGCATCATCGGCTGGTTACTGACGTTTGTCGAGTGGATAGTGCGGATGAGGTGAAGGAGGCTGACACAGTGACAGTGAAAGGGATGAGGAAAGCAAGAAGGTGGTTTCTTTGCTGGGCAAGCTGAAACCAGCAAAGCTATCTGAACTTGCCAGAGCCAGAAAACAGAAAAGAATATTTTTTTGTTTCCTTTATGTTAGAAAATGCATCTTTTGGTGTTGGATGCGAAGAAAGACCTGGATTTCAAGCGAAAACTTGTGAGAATTTCTGGGAATTATCGGCATGGTTTCAGGCATTATCGGCATGTTTGAAAGAATTGCGAGAAAGCATGATGGGTAAATTTTCGAGCATATTTGCCCGGTGCCTACAACTGAAACAGCAACAGAGAAAGTACGATACATGTACTCCACATTCTTGCAGGTACTACAAACAGATTGCAGATCGTAATTCTTGCTTTGGCGGCACGAAACTGTATTTGGGGCAGTGCAATCTCGGCGGTACTCACAAATCAAAAAGCCCAGACTCTGGAGATTTTCCCTGATATGCGAATTTATTTTGCAAACTCGGTCAATGGGTCCTTGAACCTTTCCCTCCAGATTTCCCACCAGATTGGGAACTGCCAACGATAGTATGCCACTGACCAGTGCATTACTTGTAAGCAGTAACGTACTTATGTACAATGAATATGAGTATTTCGACAACACATCTAACATAAGCCTTACCGTCAAGAAGGTGAACTTGCGTCCTTCGCACACTGTAGACAAGGGCAAAGAGATAAAAATGGATCTAAATCCGAATAAGGTCAGCACACGTTTCCGTAAAATTTAATGAAAGGGTGAGCATAATAAGCAAATGAATCGAAGGAAACCGGTCAACTCAGAGATCCCCTGTCATCGAGTATTTCGTAAAAGGAGGCCTCGGCAGCGGAAAAGCTAAATTTAGAAAAGAGATCCTGTCAGCTTTTCCATATTTATTGCATTCCACCCAAAGTCAGCACACTTTTCGTAAATGAAAGAGTCAACACAAGCAAATGAATCAAAGGGAACTGGTCAACTCACCTGTCATTGAGTAATATTCCGCGAAAGGAGGTCTCAGCAGCGCCGAAACGAAACAGCTCATGCAAGAAGCAGTTCCAAAGAAGGAAGTTCCTCGTGTATGCACATCCGGAAAGGCAACAACAAAAAGTCTGCAATGCACACGCATGCGGCCAGCCGGCCCCGCGATGGTAGGAGCTCCCGGGTCCAGGACCAGGTACCGAGCATCTTACGTAGAAACTTACGTAGCTACGTAGACAACGTGTCTGAATAGCGGTGTCGTTAGGTAGCGCCATGTGAACACAACAATAGAAAAGCTGACAGGATCGCTTCAGTCCGTGCGCCAAGCCCTTGAGTAGCCTGTTTTTTATTTGCAACCGCGGGAAAAATCGAGGTGCAAAAAGATGACGACGACACAATTGTTTTGTTGGGAATTTGCAACCTTATTTGGATCTGAACTGGCGTGTGCTGGAGGAATCCTTGTTCATAACTGGTTTGCTGCTGAGGTATGTCCCTTTGTCACCTATGGCACTTTAGCTGAGGTTCGTTGCGCCCAACTGTAGACCATGAAGACCTGTGTTTGCTCTATACATTTTTTCGTCGTAATCGTACCATCAACTTGCTTGTCGTGCTGGAGTGGATAGCATATAACGGACACTCTCGGCTTATGCTCTAAGCCAAAGGTAGATATATTTGGGTTTGGATTCCCAAAGCACATCCCAATCAGGCTATGCAAAATGGAGCGGCCCACAATTTCGTGGAGGTATGTCGAATTGTGTGGAATTTTGCACTAAAGTAATTGTGCTTGAACAAGGACGTTTTGGCTGCTTATTTTCCTTGGGCACCTCTACATTGCAAACTAGTCCCCTTGCTGTTTTGTCTTCGACATCTATACGGAATTTCTCTGTAAGTCGTGTGATTGGGGCCCAGATTTTTAATCAAAATCCAGCAGTATTCCTGGCTGCTGATCTAGTTTGCTAAAGTTCTGGCTGAAGGTAGTCTGTGGAACAGTTTCTTTTGTATGTACCATGGTAGGACGTTCATTACATAATTATAGATGGAGTACATAGTCAAAGAAACTTTTTATGTAGTTTAGCACAACTGCACAGAAGTGCAGGGCCTGAAAGAAAAGCAAGCGCTGGAGACGCAGGGTCCGCAGCATGTGTGAAAGCATTGTGAGAGCATGTGTCTTCGAATTCAGCATCACACACATATACACACACACACACACGTACACACACACACACACACACACACACACGCGCATGCGCGCACATACATACATACACACACACACAAACACGTATCACACACACACACACACACACACACACCATTGGACCATTGGACGCCCATCGCCGGAGGCGATGATAAAGATGCTACAGCAGAAGCCACAGAAGCACACACACACACACACAGACACGCGCGCGTCATCTGGCGCGGGTTGCGGGTTGGGTGTTGCATACTGAACATTCTGTACTTGCAGCCTTATCTTGATCATGTGTGATAGTTGTGTCACAGGTTTTTGCCGTATTTTCTGGATTCTCTGTGCTTTATGTAGATGGTCTTGCGCGCTCGTCATCAACAGCACTAGGTCCAGTGGGCCAATCAGGCTGAATGGCATCATCCAGCTGTGACTGGGGTGTAGGTAAGTGTCTCTGCGTGCTCTGATGGTCGACTTCTGGCTTCTGGCCTTCAATCATTGTTCTTGCACGGGACCTCAGCCGCCTGCCTCGCATACCCTGTGGTTCACTCGTGTTGGCAGGCTGTGATGCACAGTGGAATCCTTGATGTGGCACTCGGTCTATGTTGTTGCACGCGACGATATTGCCACTGATGGGCTTTGGTGTGATGCTCTGAATAGATGTACCATGAAAGCCTCTTGGTTGGTCTCCGTAGTACTTTCGCCTGCCTGGCTCGTTTTTGTCGATATTATCCATTGTTGCAATGGAGAACTTTGTGTGAGGTATCTCACTGTTCATTCCGAGCTCTGATTTCTTATCAATGATGGTCTTTTGATATCGCTTGTAGGAGTCGCCACCTGCTGTTGCGCCGACTCGAGCTAGTACTCGCATGAGCTCGCTGGAATTGCTATGTGCATCCACAAAGTCCGAAAGAACAAGCTGGAAAGGGTAAGTGCATGCTGGTGTGCTTGCATGCATCATGTATGATAGAACAAACAAGCACCGGATCCTCTTTGCACGGTGGTTGGATGCTTGACTTCCTTCTGACTCCGATTGGCCGTACATCATCAGCCAAATGTTTCCCCACAACTCACTGTCCACACTATCCACCACTGCGTCCAGCTTCATTTCCGACAGTGAAGTTAGGTCGTTATGCTCTTTGTGCTTGAACTCTTGTGCTTGACTTTTGATTTATGAGTGCATTGCAGCCGACAGCTCTGATACGAAGGATGATGGGCCACTGGGTTGGCTTGTGTGCTGTGTGTGCTGGGTTTCATTTTGTGCTCTGTGTTTCAGGGTCTGGGATCGTGCAACGGCGAGGGAATTGTATAAGCACAGAACTGTGTCACACCCTGTACGATACAGGAGCGTACCTCGTTTCTTACTGGTACCATATGACCCATGGCTGAGATGAGCGCCAAGCTTCGAAATAAGGCTGGACAGTAGCCACCAGTTGTTGTAGTCGATGGATGGTGAAGAAGAGGTGAAGAAATCAGCAGCCGTTGCCAGAAGAAGAGAACGGTTCTCGAGGAATGCAAAACAGACGAATCTTGCTGTTGCCAGCAATGCGGACTCCTCGAATGAGGTGCATTGGTGCATTTCGTCTGTTATACTCTGCACCAGGCTCTCCAGCTTGAAGTCAGTAGTCTGACTGTCCACCATATCCAGTTGGCCTTTAGAACAGGCTAGGCAAAAAGCACTATCCGCGGTGACCGTAAGACCACGCTCAGCGTGCAGCTGACGCTGAACTGCTCCGACGTTCGGACATTTACGCTTAACACCCCTTATTTGTGCGCCACACATGGTGCATGTGGGCCTGTTGCTGTCATGTAGCTGCATGTTATGCCGGTTGCAGAGACCCGCTGGCTGATCGTTTGCGTTTACTTTCACGTTAAGCTTCTCGGCCAGCTCTACTGCTTGTAATGAAACTGTGACATGCCGTGGCAAATCACAACCATCTACTGAGCAGTCTGGTATTGTTGCGGGTGCTGGTGCCGGTGCTGCTGCTGCTGCTGCTGTTGCAACATGCTGTGCAGGCATCGCTTCTGTAGGCTGCACGTTGTCAGTGACAGGCCGCGATTGGCTCTGCTGAATGATTTATGAGCCTTTTCATGCATTTCTTGCAGATACATGCATTTCGTGGTATTGTAGGGTGATGTGCATATTCCCAGCATTGCGTGGTATCGGGGTGGGCATATCTACCATCAAGGGGAACATCTTGGCAGGCTACACATGGTCCGCATTGCCTGTCAGGATGCAGTTTCGAGCTCTGGCTTTGGCGGCCCATTTGGACTTGGTCACAGTGCGGACACTCGTGGTTTCTTCCTGGCCTATAGCAACACCATCTGTCCGCCCATTCGCGTAGTTTTATCAGAGATAGAGCCTTGCAAAATAAGACGGCCCACAATCTCCTGCGACGTATCTACGAAATGGGAAATTGAGAAGAGAAACAAAAAGGCACCGCAACGACTTGAGATGTCGAATATCGAGGTGCACTTTCGAAAAATGTGCTCATCGCACCATAACGGCGCAAAAGCAATCGATATAGGAGGGTAAGCCTGTATTCTCGAGGTAACCAATAGTCGAAAATTGAGAATAATTCGGTATGTCACTAAATTCGTCTTCAAATTTCCCGCGGTTGCAAATAAAAGTGCAACTTTTAGACGACTTTTTTGAACTTGGCGCACGGACTGGCTTTTCTAAATGTCCTTATTTCGAAGTGAGAGAGAGAGAGTTGCTTTGCATGCAGTTCAAAATACATTATTGGGCTCCCCGGTAGTACATTGGGTACTGCACTTGCCTGCGACCCGAGAGGTCTAGGTCGCGGGTTCGAGCCCCGCAGTCGCACATCAACTGCAAAATCCAACTCCCCACAAAATCCCCACGACGCAGCTCACCAGATCAAGGTGTGGGTCCTCTGCACTCAGTAGAGTCAAGTCGAGCGAGCTGCAACTCCCGGTGCCGAAAGGCGGGCTCATGCCCCGACATGGCTACTTCCCCTTGTCTAGCCCCCAAGACGAAAATGATAGTAGCCGACTGGCCGAAATTAAAAAAAAAAAAAATACATTATTCTCTCTTTCTTCAGTGGAGAGTAGCCCCAGAGAGATCGATCTCTAGGCTAGCTCTGGTTCGCTCCTGGATTGGCGATGACGTTCAAGAAATCCGTTTTGCCTCGAAATTTGAGTCAAGCACGCGCGATGCAAGTCAGTTCAAGGATATGATTGACGATATCTCCTTCCAAACTGTTGACTCAAATCAAGATGACAGCCTTTCGTTCTCGCTCATGTGCGCAGCAGAGATGTTCGTCAAAAACGTTGTCGACTGGAAGACGTAAAAATGTGCGTCCATGATCCACTTGAGCTGCTTCAGAACGAAGCGCTGCTCGGGCCGCGACTCAAGGACGCGGGGCTTCGCTTTTCTCCGGCTAGCTTCCATCGAAGCAAGGTCCATAACTCTTTATTGAAATCATGTGGAACATTGCCAATACATGCCGAAAACTTCGTCATAAGAACAGAAAGAAAAATACGTCGAATGTAAGCAGTGTTTTGATGTAACAAACATGCCTGCATGGAGTGGACTAGTGAAGTACCATAGACAAAGTGTTATACTTATAGACTGTAGTGTATACATGTAGCCTGGGCGGCTAGGCCTATCAAACTTTTACGGGTTTGACAAACATGTGATTGTATAATGAGTGCATTGACCTTTGCACCCTCTTTGCAAATACTTTTTGAAGTGCTGGTATGCAAAAGGTAACCCGTTTTATCCTGCTACCGATCATACATGTACCAACATTTCCATGTAACATCGTCCCCTCCCTCCATTCCTCATTACTCTTATTTCTGTCCTTTCTACGCCTGTACCTGGTTGCCCTCTCAGACGCGTTTGTGCCGGCATGATTCTAATGATAGCAGTCGGACGAGCCCCACATCTCATCAGCACCAGTGTTCATTGGTTCCCTGCACCCCTGATCTTGAGTCCCCCCCCCCCCCCCTAGCCTCCTCCCTAGCCTCGCCGTTAACTCCGACGGGATGTTCGGGGGATGCTCATGTGCACAAAATACATAATTATACAGTGGGTCTCCAGAATTTTTTTACCAACTCTAGAAACCCCCCTTTCAAGACTCGGTGCACGCCACTGTCTAGACTATCCTACACTATTTCTACTACTACTACTACCCACCTGGCTATCTCCAGTCCGGCCTGATGCCGGCTGGGATGTCCAAAAAAACGAAAAGCTACAAGCTTGAAAAACGCGTGCCACACTCGGAGTCGTAGCTGCAAAAAAAAAGGAGGTACTACGCCATGTCCACCACCCGGTCGCAATTACCAGCAGGTGTTGGTTGACGACTCCATGTTCCTCACTGTCCCGGACAGTCATGATGGAACCACGAAGGCGAAAGCTAAAGACGATGATCAGCAAACCGTCGCTGATGAAAGCATGGATTCTCCTAACATCCCACAAGAATCAAAGAGCTCTCACCTAGTCCATTCAACCGTGGTGGATGCTCAAGGTTTCCAGATACCTCATCACGGGCGAGTGCACTTTTGCCTTTACCATATGAAGATGAAGTTGCAGTATTACTGCACCCTATGTCGGGAGGTTTTGTGTGAAACGTGTAAGGAACAAGGTGAGCACGCGTCACATATTGATCAGATCAATGATAGCGCTGGAGCAGCCGGAACGTTAAGACACAGACTCACGGAGCGCCTCAGCAACATCGTCCCTGATGACAACGAAAAGGAAGTGAACGAAAGCCTGGATTACGCCGGTGAACTTCTCACAGCATTTGAGTGTGACTCTGCAAGGCAAGTGTCCAGTATCAAGACAATGATACATGAGCAGTGCCAGGATCTACTTTTCAGAGTAAAGAAGCGAAAAGAGGAGCTGATTAGCGAGGGTGAATTGCGGAAGAAGGAGCTAGTCGAAGTCCTAGACCATTTACGGGAGTCGAACAACGCTCTTCATCACATACTTGACGCACCCAGAAATGCTCTAAGAATCGAAGACCTCGTTAAAATGCGTCCACATTCGATTCAGCTTCTGACAGACGTGTCTCGTGACATTGTGGCCAGAGGAAGATCGCTACTGCGGAGAATAGCATTTACGTGCAAGAAAATGTCAGAAGTGGAAGGACAATTTCGTGTTGTGGGTAAAGTCGTGGACAACACTGAAATAGATTTGTCGCGTTGTTCCTTTCCTTTCCCGGTGTATCCTGGATATGCAGGGGAACAATCTAACCTTACTGTTCTAGTTTGAAATGATCGAGGCCAACAGTTGTCTGATACCGCATTGAAAATCTCCAGCATTCAAATCTGGGCAACTCGAATTGAAGGTGCTTTTTCTCCGGCAGCTCCAGTGCTAGTGCCGATATCAGGTTATAGCAAAGGGGAAGTGCATGCTTTAGTCCAGTTTAGCTGCAGTCAAACTACTGCTTTTCTGCTAGAACTGTTGCTGGATATTCCTTGCATTTTACCTGACTTTCAAAGTGGTTCATTGGCCAGTATTGTAGATAGGTATTTCCCCTTAAAAACCTGGCTGCTCATGTACAAATCGAGGGCGAGCGACTTTGACATAGATTTGTGTTCCCCAAAAGAATGCGTAAAACTAGGGGTAAGGATGTGTACATTTACGAATGCCTTCCTGTACACGGAAATAAGCCAAGTAAAGAATGGAGTTGCAACGGTACGCGCCATTGAACCAGTTCAAAACCGAGACTTTGGAGTATCAATTATCATCTTAAGATGCATAACCGGGAAGCTAGACATCGGATTTACTTGGGGCTGTGCAGAGAATAGCCAAGAAATGAAACTTGTTCTGGCATCCGCCGCTAATTCGAACTCCTCGTCTTGTCCTATTCGTGATGTAGTTGCTGGAGACCTCATACATATATCACGCTGTCCCTACACCCAGGATAAGTATAACATTGACCATTATGTCATTGACTCTGGATTGCTGAAGAACAATCATAACGTACGTATAGATTTAAATACGAAGCCAATACTAATGGTGCGAATGTTCCGCTGTGGTACATGCATTCAGGTTTATGAACACAATACAGAACAACGGAATAAATTTATGCGAGAGGCGAAAAGTCCTTTTTGACGCCCTGGCCCAGCGTGTGGAGAAATAACAGGTATCGCTAATATTGATTACCGAGCTCATCGATCCTGCTCTTTTCTTTCTGATCACGTCATACTGAACTACTCCTCGCGGCTCAGTTAAGAAGCTGCCTTATGGGCCCTGTGCTATCGTGGCATTAAAGAAACGAGATTTTGGTTTGTCTTGTCTTGATGAACATTTTCGTTTTGTTTTTGTTTTTTGTCTGATTGTTTTGCAATTCGCTCAAATGGTGCTCCTTGTTTCATGCGAACTGACAATCAACATAAAAATTTGATCTGGTTCATGTCCGACCAAACTAACCAATGACTGTTCTTTGGATAGCTAATGTGGGTATCGATGGTGTTTGCTTGCCATTCATGTGTCCATCGGAAAAACCGTGTTCAGAT